AATGCTCCCAAATGTGAGTTTTTACAAAATTCCTATGGAAAAGAATTTTCTGTGAATGAAGAAGTTTATTTTGAATAATTAACTTCAGAAGGTTTCGATTACACTACCAGCGAAACCACCGTTTGTTTGCAGAGTTTTTTTTTGAAAAAAGTGCATTTTCTGCAGTAAAAATGCTTCTCAATTCGGGATCATCACAAATCGTCATAAAAAGAATTTTTTTCAATACTTAGCCTCAAAGGGTTTCTATTATACTACCAACGAGACCACAGCTTGCTTGCAAATTTTTTTTGAAGTGCATTTTCTGCATTTCAGAAAATTTCCATGGAAGATAAGAGTTGCTTTCGAAGTACTTGGCCCTCAAAAGCTTTGACTCTCATAGCAGCGAGACCACAGTTTGCTTGCAGAGTCTTCTTTTTGAAAAAGTGCATTTTCTGTAGTATAAATGCTTCCTTATTTGAGATCATCAAAATCTTGATTTACAGGGTGTCTCAAAGAAAATGTACTTACTGTTTGATTGTAATAACTCTCTTGCAATGAAGTGTTTCGTGAAGCTTTAGGTACCATTTTATAGAGTGAGGTTCAACTTAGCTTTAAATTATAGAGCGAATCACCGACTGCTCTTCATAACTGTAGAATTACGGTAGGAACTCTGAAGAGGGTTTTGAGCCATGAAAGGCCATATTTTGCCTCAGAAAGCAAACAAAACAACCTGAAAAGTTTCACACTGGGCTAATTAGAGTTGCTGATTCTAACTGTGAAGTTCGCAGCTTGTCATAATGCTTCTATAAAAAGTTATGCAAGGTAAGCCGTATCGGCCGTTTTTGCAATGCTCCCGAAAATTGCAATTATACCGTTTAGAAAGCTTCGCAGCCTTGTACATAATCGAGTGCTGATCTCAGCGTCCTTGGAAACCCAATTACACAATTTTTCACATTTATTCGAAAATTTTGAAACCTTTGAAAGCAGCTTTTTTCACAGTGACACCATATGCTTGAGGTTTCTACCGTAACCTACACTAATGAAGAGAGGTCGATGATTCGCTCTATACTGTAAATCTAAGTTGAACCTCGCTCTACAAAATGGTACCTAAGGCTTCCAGAAACACTTCATTACAAAAGAGTTAATTACAATCAAACAGCGAGTACATTCTTTGGGACATCCTGTATATGAATTTTTTGAACACTTGCCTTCATTTAGTTCCGATTATGCTACCTGCGAAACCACAATTTGCTTTTTTTGAAGTTTTTTTCAAAAGTGCATTTTCTGCAGTGAAAATGCTTTTTAACTTAAGATTATCACAAGATTTAAAAAAAAAAGAATTTTCCTTTGAATACCTACCTTCAAAAAGCTTCATTATGCAAACGGCGGCGGCACTTTCTCAAGGACCAAGACCCAGCTTATTACTTGTGCTACGCTGATATTGGGTAAACATAAAACATATTGTATGACACGAGTACTCCAACAGTTTTACGTTAATAAACTTGAGTTGGAGAAACTCCGATATTCAAGTCTTAAGTAATTAAGAAATTATAATTAAGTAATTAAAGTTTTTGACATTGACCGAGGGTGCCAAATGCAGTTTATCACGGTTTACCGCCCACCTAATTCGAATAGTAATGATGATGATGAATTACTGGAGATGCTTAGCAATTTTGCTTCTGAGAACATTCCAACTATCATACTCGGAGATTTCAATTTGCAAATTGATTGGATGGCCAAGAAATCCCTCAATGCTGCCTCTTGCCCTTTTCTGGAGTTTGTAAACAACTGTGGACTAAAGCAATATGTGACCTCACCGACTCATGATAGCAATACTCTCGACATTGTGCTCTCGGCCTTTCCACTCATCTCGCGTGTGGGCACACTTCAGCCACTTCAGCCAGTATTCATAAGATCGACCTGCCACCACACATTCGTGCCTTAATATCTCAAAAACAACGTCTTTTTGATACTCTGCCCAATCCTTTGAGTTGCCCGTTGTATAAAAAAGTTTGTGCTGATATAGACTATCACATAAAAAAATATTTGTCGTATCGTGAACGAATGCTTGCTAGAAGAAAGTCGTCTAAATATCTTTTTTCGTATTTGAAGAATAAAATGAAGCCCTCCCAACATTTCTCTACTTTGACAAATTCTTCTGGTACCTCTTATGTTAGCGATAAAGATAAGGCAGATGCTCTTGGTGCCTATTTTGCCAGCGTTTACTCTCCTGTCGCTATTAATGACAGTGATAGTGATGCTGACAGAATAAGCGCTGATGCAGTGCTGCCTCGCCATTTTTGCAATAATGTTCATTTTCATCCCGCAAATGTCTACCAGTTCCTTATCAAACTAAAACCTTCCATAACTGAAACATTTGATGGCATCCCTCAGAGAGTATACCTAAAATGCGCCTCGTCGCTTGCGGCTCCGCTTGCACATATATTCGACATCTCGATGTTGTGGGGGGAGGTCCCTGACTTGTGGAAAGAAGCTTTGGTTACAGCAATTCCAAAAACTGACGGAGCATGTCGAATTGATAAGTTCCGTCCAATTAGCTTGCTTCCCACTCCTGTTAAGATCATGGAAAGAATCATACGTGAAAAACTTTTGGAATGGCTAAAGGTTTCGGATTTGATCCCCGATGAACAACATGGCTTTTTGAATGGAGCTTCCACCACAACAAATCTGGTTGATAGTGTGTTCGAGTGGAGCTTAGCAATCAACGAGGGCAAATCGGTTGACATTGTTTATGTTGATCTCTCGAAAGCGTTTGATAAGGTCTGTCATGCTAAATTACTAACTAAAATGAACAAATTGGGGATTAAAGGAAATCTTCTTTCGTGGTTGACTTCTTATTTGCATGATCGGTATATGACTGTGAGAGTTGGTCATCGTTACTCCAAAAAGTACTTCTGCACTAGTGGTGTTCCACAGGGTGGTGTCTTAGCCCCCTTGCTTTTCCTGATTTACACCCTTGACCTACCTTCTACTTTGAAGACTTCCGCTAGCGTACACATCCGGATGTATGCTGATGACATAAAGATTTTTGCAGTCTATGATCCGGAAGTAGCTCCAGAGATTCAAATGGACTTGCAAAGGTCTCTTGATAATTTGACCAATTGGTGTGAGGTCTGGAAATTAGCGTTAAATTTTGACAAATGCTCAGTGCTTCATCTTGGAGGTGGAAATACTACCTCGTATCACATCAAAGGCTCTATATTGAAGAGTTGTGATACTGTTAGAGATTTGGGTGTCGTGATTGATACAAATCTTAACTTCACTGAGCATATCAATACGTTAGTCAAAAAAGCTTATTCTTCACTCTTTCTGCTTTTCCGCAATACTAATGCTAGTTCTCCGAAGATACTTATACCGCTTTATAAAGCATTAGTTCCTCCTCATTTAGAATACTGTTCTCAGGTCTGGTTCCCCTTTCGTAAAAAGTATATTCGCAGAATTGAAAAGGTTCAACAGCTTTTTACACGACTGTTGTATAGACGTTTATCGCCCGGAACCACCCCTCCCGATTACCAGACCCGGCTTGAGAGGTTTCATATGAAATCCTTAACAAACCATCGTGCTTTCTTGGATCTTGTATTCTGTTTTCAAGTTCTGAGAAGAGAGAACAAGCTAAAAGCCAGTTAATACTGGATTTTTGTTCCTACAAGCGAAAGGTCAGGCTCTTTTAACTTGCAATATCCAAGAATCCGGCGCGATACTTGCTGATGTTCAACAACGTGTTCTACAGGTCGGCTAGGTGGCTTTCGCACCTCCCGGTTGAGACCACTAGTGCAGAGAGTAGTCATATTTTCAGGAATAGACTGAGAAGGCTTGACTTGTCAAGTATCGCTAACACTGATTAGTGTTGCATGACAGGGCGAGCCTTCTGCATTAGACCTTTGGGCTTCCATTGGGTGCTTTGGACGTGCTATGATGGCGGATGGAATCGCTTTGGGCTTTCTTTTCTATCACCTTTGTTCTCCATTTTACTTCTAAAACCTGTCTTTTCAGGTGCTCGGTGATCTTGCATTGACTTGCGGGTTCAGTTGTGGCTGTAAATTATTTCTTTGACGCCTCTCGTGTATCTCCTCACGTTGCGTCAAACTTTTATTTTTGGTGTACTCGTTTTGTTCTAGTTACTAACACAGTTTCATCAGCATCTCAGTCCGAGTCTTTTTCGTTCGGCTATCTAATAGTCAATCGTACGCTTGCTATTTCAACAAATGGATTCAATGAGAATCGTTTCACCTTTGGGGTCATTGGGCCTCCCCAGCATTCCGGCTAGGTTGGGTTGTGGTTATTATACCTGAGGCAGTAGACCTGCCTTATAAGCCGCCGGATTGCTTTCAAAAGTAACTAAAGATTGTTCCGCTGGCAACGAGGGGGCATGTGTCCCATCTCCATGGATTCAAAGTTTTGGAGTTATAAATCTCATGCCTACATCTGCATACTTATCTATTAGCCTACCAACATATTCAGTGCAAGCTGTTTTATGTTCTCACATTAGTCTGATTAGGATCAGACTCGGACTGACTTGATGATGTCTGCATTTGTTTACATGTCTTGTTCGTTTCCGCTGTATTACTAGCTTCTTGATGTGTCTTTTTTTATGGAACGCCTTGAGCGTGCAAATGAAATGAAATGAAATGAAACTAACTTCTCGAGGACGTTGATATACGAACAGTGAATTATCATAGTTACAGGAAATAAAATTTTTTTATGAAATAAACTTACCACAAAACCGAATGCAAACGTTTGAGATAATTATGTGAGCTTTTCCTTCAAGCATCACTCGCATCATACCCCATTAAAGTGTGATAACGAATGAGACTGCGGATAGCACCATATATAAAGAGGGGAAGCCACAAAAAAACAAAAGGAAGAAAGTTGTATTAATTCTATCAGGAATTCAGAATAATAGACAGTTAATACCAAACGCCGTGGAAGAATCGTAAGCTAATTGCAATGCTCATAGTGGCTACCATAATATTATATAAAGCATGTGACTCATACGAAAAATGAACAAACATGTTGACTCGGAGAACCGGCGGTGGGGGGGGGGGATGGAGGGAGAAATGGCGGGGGGGGGGGGGAGCGACCCACCAGACGGATGTTTTCTCTGCTGTTCTCCGCGGCACAGTCTCTAGTTTTTCTCTAGCCTTGTTTGGCGTCTCCGCGGGCCAGACAAATATTCGGAAATACGGCGCATTTTGGCGCATATAGTTCTGTACTGCAAGCCTACAAACGCTACGGAGCTGTGCCATAAGTTTAAGGGTGAGGTACGTGCTGATAGGCGTAGTAGTTCATATGATGAAAATTTGAAGTCTTTGAAGTCAATCAAACGTATTACTGCTAATGGAACGTCGATGATGGATTGCGGTCTTGAAGGAATTTTCAACGACCTTACCAATAAAGAAGATGCTTCACCAGAAATTTCTGAAGAAGAAGATGATGCTATTGATTCACCCATAAACTTATCAAAAAATAACAGTTAAATGAACCTTTTGAAAGCAAAATTACGAGAGATCCTAACGGAGGTCGTACCTACAACGAAGTCTAGGAAAACGAATGAAAATCGTCTATTCTTTGCCTACACGAAACCTGAATGCGAAAAAACATTTACTTTCAACACAATGATTGATGAATTGCGGACTGTCGGTTTACCGATGATCGCTGCTGTATCTACAGCTATTGCGCTTACACTTTTGAGGAATAGTCGGGCACACATTCCATTCGCATTACCACTCACAGGGCTATGTGCTCACTCAATGGCTGGAGTGGATGCTTCATCTGGCAATGGTAAGATGTTACGCGATGTGGACGTCATAATCTGGGATGGAATTTCCATGCAGAGTCGCTTTGACGCGGAATGCGCAGATGGAGTGTTTCGCAATGTAGTCGCACCAGTAATTAGAAAGTTTCTGACTGGTGCTGTTGCTGTAGTTTTTTAAGCAGACGGTGTCAATTCCTTCCTGTTGTTTCAGAGGGAACCAAAATGGGCATAATCAACTTGACTTCAAAGTCAAGTGAAGTCTGGCGTTACAAGCAAATTAACGTACTCGACGAAAACATGCGACTCGAACACGGTGAGGAGCAACGTGCAACGTGGTTGCAGTAGTTGCAGAGGGAAACAGGTTCACCCCACACGGTGTTCACATTATAAATCCTGTCGAGATGTGTACGAAAATTGAGGACGAAGTTATTCAGTGGATCTACACTCCAGAAATAATCTGTTCATCTGGTCTCATTGAGTAATATGGCACTGTCCACAGTCCGAAATTGTGACGCTATAGAGCTAAACGAGATGGTTCTGAAAATGACCCCGCGAGATTGCGTAGCACTATATGGCGTTAATACCCCAGCTTGTGAGGATGAAGATCTTGTGGGTTTACCTTGTGACGGCCAAGAATTTATTCATCATCCAACCCCTACCATGCCTCAGTATAAGCTGAAATCCAAATGTCGGATATAATGATCCTACTTCCCAACAGTAGAAGATCCGTTGTTTGACGAGAAACGCTTTGAACTGTTATCATTCTTGTGTGAAGATGGAATGCTCCGCTGCAGAAATTTGTTAACTGGAAGAGTTGCTCATAATACCGGAATGCCCTTGGACCACGCGAATGAAAACACGGGAGTAGCTTTTCATCATTTGCGATTTCCACCGAGATTGTCATATTGCTTGACGATAGACAAGACTCAAGGGCACACGTTTGGCAAAGATGGCATCATAGTGTCATTGCCCACATTCTCGTTCGCGCATAAAAGCATGTATATTGCGCTCTCGAGCGCGCGGTAAGAGGACATATGCGAATCACAAGACACTCATCAAGAGTCAGGAATGTTGCCTACGAAAAATCATTGAGTGAGAGTAGCGGATGGTTTGATTATAATAACCAAGGTGAGACAATGTTATGGCTGTTCTTTTGTTGTCGCAACATAGACAGCAACAAATGCTGCTGAGTGAATGTGCACGCAAATATCAGCCGGCAGCGCAATTGAAAAGGGACATCAAACAGACCCTATTGAGATTATGATTCTTCACATATAGTGATAACCGTGAGTTCTTCTTTTTTTATGCTTCAAAGTTGAAAGCTTTGATTCCAGTTTCTAACATCCTGATGCTTGTTGCACTACATGTCGAGGAGGATCATCAGTCTACCGTTTTGTTACAAATCTGTCGTAGCAATTTTCTAATATCAAGGATAATTGCGCACACCGTCCTTTCCACAAAATAGAAAGTGTCCTTGTGCTGGTATTGCAATGGTCGATTTTTTAGTTTCGTTTGTGTTGAATTTTATTTTGAGTTTTAATTTAGGTTGGGTTTTATGTCTCCGCAAAATTAACAAAGGTAGCGTGAGCGATCAATGAAAATGAACGTAAACGTAACGCAAAAGGACGTTTCGACGAAAACGACGTCTCAACGTAAAAAAATTTGAGAAATACAATCACGGTACCTTTGCTCATGAAGCAGTACTGGTGTCTTTTCGACACAACAGCCAAGTAAACATGTAAGTATAACAATTGATCCTCGTGCAAAACTACAAGCGTCATTAAAAAAAACTACAAATGATTTCAAAAGCCAAAGCCAAAATCGGCACTCCTTCCGATCGTGAACATATCATGACAGTAAACTAAAAAGCACGTGCTGTGCAGGGCCCGGCACGAGATCGGCAAACGGGGTTTTCCAAAAAAACGAATTCCCCTTTGATCCCAATAGTTTTTACGAATACCCCCTTAAGCCCAAAAATGACGCTTTGTGCTTGTGCAACGAGGACACCGGCCACACTTCGCCTAAAAGCGCTCAAAAGTACCCAAAATGCTCAAATTCCTTTAATTACTCCTCACCTGTATCAAGATAGAAAAGGGGAAGAAGAATAAACAAGGAAAATGATGAAGGAATGAAAAAATATTAAAGTAACGCAGTCATAGGACTGAGAGACGCCGTTCCCGCGCGTATCGATTGACTGGGGCGCACTTTCCATCTCAGAAAGCTAGGCTGCTGATGCGATTTTGGGCTCTAACCAAGACAAGAGGAGGAGTTTCGAAACCAAAATCTCAACATATAGTAAACTTTAGGTGCACAACACATTTATGTAAAATTTTTGAAAAAATCATGTGAATTGAGAGTTTTGCCCACCTCAGGTGGGCATTAGGTCGGCAATTGCCGACCTAATTTGGAAATTAGTCAAGCACGCTCTTCATTCACATAAGTTTTTCAAAATATTTCATACTTTGTTACTTAGTCCTATTGCGCATGTGCACACCGAGTCCCGCGCGATTTCGTCACCTCTGCGTTGCAAACGAGCCATTTTTTCATTTCTTTGGTAGCGGGAAATTTTCAGAAAAAAGCTTATCACAACCTTCAGTCACATAATTTTCCAATGAAACTTTTGAGTTAAGCCCTGCAGGCCCGTGTTCATGTATCTACAAGTTTCATACCGTATGGTCATCTGTGCGCTGCAAACAAGCCATTTGAATTCACATCTTCATTTGCAAGTTTTGCAAATTTTTTGGAAAAAATGCTTGTTACTCCTCCCATTCACACAAGTTTTTCATAATACTTCATACTTTGTTTCTACAAGCCTCTCTTCGTTCGCTTACATAGTTTGGTGCTGTATCGTTACTCCTGAATTGAGAACTGATCATCTAATCATGCTATTCAACGGCATCGCTCATGCGACGTCGCACACGCGGCAATTAGCGGCAACGCGGCGTAGTGCGCGCGAAGTCTGCTGTGCGTTTAGGTTTATGAAAACTATTTTCCGATGAATTAGGTGTATAAAATAAGCATGATTCGAGCTTCTTTTGCTTGCACTTGGAATCTTCTTCCGGGGCTCCGCCCCGGATCCCGCAAAAACGATATCCCCCTTGCTTTTTGGCCCCAAAACGATTTCCAGCTTGTCATTTGCCCACCTCGTGCCGGGCCCTGGTGCTGTGACAAGATCTTCTTTAGCTGCTTTGTTGCACGAAGCATTTCGTGCATAAAGAGACACCGCGAAGCACACACAGGAGTATAGGAGCGATCCCGTCACGATTCATCACAAGCAGATTCACGTCCTACAAAACAAAAAAAAACATCTTGAAAACGCATTCACACTCGGTCAATTCCTTGGACTTCATTTAGTCTATCCCAGGAGCAACGTCACTCGGTCAATTCCTTGGACTTCATTTAGTCCATCCCAGGAGCAACGTACAAGTTAGATAGAAGTTCGAAGCGTAAATACTCACAGCTCAATTATTCTTGTGTTTTGTAGTGCAACGATGTGTAACCATCTTCCTCCGATGCATGTATCCTATGCAAATACTGATTTTCCATAATATGAAGTACGAATAAATAGTAGACACAATCACTAGGCAACTCATGCCACAGTCTCCCGCACGCTCGAATACTTAGACATTTACTACTGATTCCCTCTAGACCATCCGCATTGTCCAACTTCCACCGCTTGCCATTGAGTGCGCTGCCATGACCAAATTTATCGCTAAAAACGAGGTTTTTCCTTTGTATAAAAAGTCAGCTTGGAAATCATGACCTTTAATAAGACTTCTATGACCATATGTCTACGGTGTAAGACAAAAACCAAATCCAAAGAAGACTTACATCGCTGCCATATTTATTCTTCCTTTCAAAACATGCTCGGCAACGTCCAAGTTGCAATGATAAGCAGCATGACGAAATGCAGTAAGCCGCGGCTTTCACCAGCATATAGAAATACCAATTAGTTAAAACTGGTAAAGCATAAAGGAAAAATGCTTACTTAGGGCACGATAATGCTCTTGCACCAGCAACGCTGTGGAGAAGCATTTCGTTCCTTCTCAATGAAGAAAACAAAGTGAACACAAAGAGACACCGCGAAATACACACACAGGTGTACAGGAGCGATCCCGTCACGAATAATCAGAAGCAGATTCACGTCCTACAAAACAAAAAAAAACACCTTGAAAACGCATTCACACTCGGTCAATTCCTTGGACTTCAATTAGTGCCAATTAGTTGAAAATGTTAAAGCATAAAGGAAAAATGCTTACTTGGGCGCGATAATGCTCGTGCACCAGCAACTCCGCAAAAGTGACCACATTGTGGAGTATTCTTGTGCGATTCTCCGTATTTATTATTAAATACTAAATACGAGCATTCGAAGAGAAATAGAAAAAGGCAATGAATAATTTACTTCAAACCAAAAAAAGAAACTTAACTTTTACTATTCAAAACCTTTATATCATAATGTAAAGCAACGATAGCTCTATGAAGAGATGTCAGTCCAAAGCAGGGTCAAGCGTGTGATGCGACTGTCGCAACGGGGGGTTGTAAAGGGGGCCTACGGTGAGGGGGGGGGGGTCGTAAGAGGGGGTAGTTTAGATAAAAAACCGTACGATTGAAAGCAAATCCAATAGCAAGTAATTATTACATGTTCTTAACAATAAATTCATGGAATGCCGTGTACCAATGTATCAAATAAAAACGAGTGAACAATGATTTGAAAACATTTGCAAGCGTAGAAATTCGCTCTATTGCTGCACTTTTGAAAGATTATAACTTAGTTCATTTTTTTATGGGAATCGCTATTTCTCCCGCAAAATATTGTCTCAAACGGGGATCGAACCCTGCTGGCATGACTAAAATCCAAAAAAATAAACACTTTCAGGAGCTCAAATGCTACTAAAGGCATGTATGTGTGATAAAGATGTTGGATGTACCGATTGGTGTAGACATCCTGCTTCCGAAGGTTTACTGAAGACTCGCACACTCGACAAAAGCGCACATGTAGATCAACGATGACAATCAATAATTCGTAAATCTTTTTGTAATACCATTTATGCGGCCCTTACAATCTATATGTACTTTAGATAAACCCTGCTACTGCTGTGCGAAATCTGGCGTTATTTTATAAACTGCGGATTTTCTTATGATTTTATGTATGGCAGAAAAAATGAGAAAAGGGGGGTCGTATCTGCGCCTGATCTAAATTTTTCCGGAGCTATTGAAGCTTGTTAGCTGCAAACTTGCTGTAATACGAGGCCATTCCTCTAGTTTTTATCATAAGAATTTCAGGCTGTTTTATAACTTCTCTGGTAAGTTACAAGATTTTAAGCTCAAAAATCCCAGTTTTTGCTTTTTAGGATCGCATCTAAATTTGCGAGAGCATGATCTAAATTTTTTGGAGCTCACTGCTCCTCAAGGGCTGAAACTTTTTCTATGAATAATCAATCTGGGCACTATGCTACAGAATCTGCTTTTTGCAGCCTCTCAGTCTTTTCCTGGCTTTAGTTACGAATTTTCAAACTACCGTGCTCATGCATGTTCTTGACGTCCTTCTGGACGGCGCTAAAGCGGTTTTTTTTTCGCAGGAAAACTGTGGAAGAGGTAAAAACTGAGCTTCTTAGTCGATAACATCTTTTGTAGTTCAAGAATGTCATTTTGTTCTCTGTGTAAAAATTTGTGTCGCATACAGAAATCGAATTTGCTGGCCTGAAGTATGCCTGAAAATTCAAAAGTAAACTTGAAGAATCTCAAACATTATTGAATGTGTGGGGGAGAAAGGGTGGGAGGAGGGGGGAGGGTCGTACGGATGGGTACCTTCAAGGGGGAGGGGTCGTAAATGAGGGTCCAGGATCGCATCAACACGCTTGACCCTGGTCCGAAGTGATATTGAACATCCATGTTATCACCAGCCTCTAAAACAATGACATCACACGCTCAAAAACTTGGAAGCAAACAACCAACCTAACAACTTAGCGACAGCTTCACATCTCCGGCAAAAGCGACATCATGCAAGGCAGCTACCTACCGGCTCGACTGGTATACTTCACAACGATACCATCGCATATCATGGACTTTATTATGCCTTGTTCTTTCTTAGTACAGCTATAGCAAGATAATTCTAAACAACAAGTTTTTAACTGAACAGCTGAGCAACTGAGAATGACCATCTGATGGTATTCCAGGTTGTAAAGATGATAAAAGTAAACAAATCACATTGCGCTAATTTGAGCGAGTGAAGCACGGGAAAAGAAGCTTAGTGATGAGAGTGGGGCTTAAATGCTACGGAAAAGGTGGGTATAGCAGATCTAATCGCAGTAATACCCTAAGCAATCAAAATTGCTAACTAAGATTATCGCTAGAAATTAATGAATGGGATAATGAATTCAACAAATGGAAAATTGAAATATTAGAAGAATGCTGGTAATGCCAACTTGACGTAGTTTTTGCCGGTAATTTGCAGTTAAAACACTA